AAGTTTTATCATCAATTTTAGGGTATTACGAGGTTAGGATATTTCACAAGCGAAAACCAAATCGATTCGGAAAGAAGATCCAGTGCAATACAAAATTATGCACCGGATATCCTTTTACCTCCAAACCAATCGTAACCAGTTGGGGTACCCATTGGCGTAATTTTGGGGGGGGGGATATGAGGATATATCCCCCAGACGTTTTTTTTTTAGAATAACAATAATTAAATTTCCGTAAGCACTAAGCTTTAAAAGATTTTAAATTAAGAAATAAGAATACATGGATATTATCATAGTTGAAATTTTTTTTATTTTACTAATATAAAACTACGATAGTTCAACAATTATAATATATGACAAGAAAATTGTATAGCTCAGAGTTAAAATATAACACTGATAAATCTACAATTTACCACTCTTATTTAGTGCTTAAAGCATGCAATATTTCACAAAAACGTGAAACATTGAAATGTTTTCTAAAACAAATATTAATGTTAGTTATTTATCAATTATTTATTATATAATCTAAAAGTTCTTATTATAATCATTAATATTAATGGAATGAATACAGTGGTTGACATATTACTATAATAACTATATTATACTATATATATTGGGTCTTGTTTTCGACTATTTATAGCATTATAGCAAAACTTGGTTTATTTTCCTAGGAAATTGATTTCGACGACGTCGACAAACAATGTATCATTATATTATTCTATTCAGTGGCATAAGATATTAACCAGTGATGCCATGTTGGTCTTTTTAAGGCCAAATCTGACCTTTTTAAGGCTAAATCTGGCCTTTTTCACTTCAATCTGACTGAAAAAATACACAATCTAGCTCCTAGATTTTTTTCTAGCCATTAATTGTTTTCAACTAGCATAATTCTGATTTAAGTTATGTATAATATATTTTAATTAATTGTTGGTGTATATAAGTATAATATTACACAACCACATTGATATCATGAGTTTTTCCCTTCGTTTTCGTTATCACTCCATATGATAAACCATATTTATGGTTGTTATCGTAACAAATTATATTTATCTGTGGTGGTTGTTAACCAAGGTTTATAGATAATAGATAATATTATTTATAAACCTTAGTTCTTAAATACGAATCGGATTTATATTCATATCTAGTTAATAGTAGAGTGCCTCTATCGAGGCACTCTAGTTAATAGTTAACACTTTACACCTCGGACTAGTATATCGTCGCTTAAGAAGTAACACCGCCTATCTCACTTTTTGGGTAAATTGTGTTAGCAATACTGTCTTATTGGAAATTTTGCGCGGAATTCACTGGTGATATCAGATTTAGAATAAAGTCAATAGATAACGAACTAATCGATAAAATGATAACACAACATATCTAAAATTTTAAGATTAAAATTACACAGAATTTGGTTTTTTTGTTCTCCTGTAAAATTGATAAAACTGAGACCTATATTTTTGAGTTTAGAATTCGAACGTGATTAATGAACATATTTTTAAACAACTTTATAGTATAGTGTAATATAACTCGGATAATAATTTTGAAAATCAAATACATATATATTATGAGCAGGGGGCTCGGGTCTTAATGCGCTAAAAAAACAATGAAATACGTGTATACACGTATCCACTAAAAAAAGCGCAAGTATGCAGTATAATTGCAATTATTTTTTTTATAAAACATGTTCTAATTATTTGCATGATTGTAAACATTTTTAAAAATACATTTTTTATTAGAAAATTTTATGTAATTTTTCCTTTAATAGATCTTGAAGCTGAATCATGAACATATTCCCAGAGTCCTAAATTTAAGAAAAGTAAAACTCGGTAGCGTAAATTGGATCCAATTTCTGGAAGTGTAGAGGTAAAATTATCTATAAGTGTTATTAATTTATAATTTCCAACTCACCAATTTTCCAATTTCCTAAATAAATTTCTTCTCATGAAACTATATATTTTCCGATGTATTTCTTTAAATAACAAACAAAGTTTGAATTATTTTAGCATTAAAACCTTTATTATTATAATATTAATATAAAAAAACAATCAAATTTTGTTTTTGGTATGCTGATTTCCATAGCTCTTGAAAATAATATTATAAGTATATAAATTTCAATGATTTTCTGGTGGTGCAAAAACATTTCTTTGCACTTTCACATTTTAGATGTGATGTTGCACGTGCCACATTTGCATCTCCCAGTATACGCCACTGGTAGAACTCATCAAATACAGCGATTATTAAATCGTGTAATTATATCCGTATTTACCTGAATCACATTGAATGATAAGATGTTTTTTGATGTTTTCAAGTGTTTAACATCTGTTATGACTCAATATGTTTTTGTAAACAGAATATATTTCAACGCGCTACTACGTAATGGTATGTAATTGTAAAAATTAAGGTCGTTTATTGTCAGATCGTCGAAACACGAAACACAATAGATCCACTAAGTATTAACGAAATTTATATAAATATATTTAAACCTATATTTTTGATACAATTTTTTTGTAAACTTTTTTCTGTTTTACTTTAAAGAGATTTAAATTATGTTTGAACATTATCTACAATACACAACGATTTGCCTAAAGACATGTCTTTAGTCTGTAATTTATAAATTTATCTAGAAAAAATTGTAAAGTTTTGAGTAATATATACTAAATTATTTTGAACGTGTTCTTTAGTCATTTTTTTTTTAACACTTAAAAAACCATTGGAGTCAGGGGCATATTTAGACTAACTTTTAGAGGGGAGGCGACTCAAATTTTTTTTAAATTCAGGCTTAAAATTTACAAGTAAAATTTTTGGTAGTATTTAAGTCAGGTGAATCTTTAATATTTGTGGTTTTTTTTTTTTTTTAATCTAATGCCGAATCCACTTAGAATGGTCTTTTGTGTAGTTCTTTTTTAACACCTATCTGTGTTTTGAAAGTTTCGTTTGGGTTTTATCTGTTTTTTCACTAAGTATGGACCAGAGCTTAAAGAAAAATAATATATATTGTTTACCGTTATGGGACATATAAACGTTATAAGCAATTGAGCGTTTAACGCTATAAATAATTTAAATGTTATTCAATTTAAGCCTTTAAACGTTATACAAATTTAAACGTTTAAAAAATTTAGCGTTTTGTGTTACTTTAATCAGTGTAAAATTTGAAACGTTTTCAAATGTAGTAATACTATAAAATAAATCATAAATTTTGTTTCTTAATAAAATACCCAATACTTACATAAAAATTGTTTTGGTCTAAAAATTATCGGGGGGGGGATTGCCCCCATCCCCCTCAAATAAGCCACTGATTGGAGTCCAATGATTTTTAATATTACGAATTTGTTCATAGTTTCACAATAATTAAGTACGAAATTAATTCAGGTACCTCCAGTGGCGTAATTTGGAATTGGTTTTGGGGTGGGATTGGGATATAAATTTATACTATCATTCTAGTGGGGCTATGCCCCCCACACCCCCTTTAACCATTAAATCTCATATATCTCAATATTATTTATTATTATAAATTAGATGAGGCAAATGGTATAATGATGATTGTAAAAAATGTTAATTTTTAATTATTAACTTTTTCTAACTTTGTACTTACAGTTTGTTCTACAGAAATCATTGATCTAATTCTTTGTTTTTCCTAAGAAAATATCCTTGTGTTATTGATTTTTAAATTTATGGATATGGGTATGCCATAATAATTACATAGAAATAAGAAATACATAAATGTATGAAGATTTAGATTATTTCAAAAAATAGTTCAACTTTATTACGACAAGTTTTTTGCTAGGTTGGTCTTGATCTGAATTACATTTTGACAAGCTATTTTCTTGATCAGTTTCTTTAAATTTTTTTGAAAAAAAGAAATAAAAGCATTCGACTACCTTTTCATTTTTAATTTAATAATTGAATATGTAATTTAGTAATATATTAAATTTACATTATCGTACAATAGACACACATCCACAGTTAAAGAAAAAATATTATTTTATTACTAGTTTTATTATATATAATATAAATAATAATAGACATTGGTGTTGTACTATTGCTGATCGTTTACAGTAATACCAGTATTGTCAGTTATAATTTTTTTAAAAAACTATGAGTACTATCACAAAAGGCCGGAAATCAGCTGAAAAAAAAATCGATTAATAACAAACATATTAACGCAAAAATAAAAATATTAATACTATTAAAATTATTGGCAATTTCCATTTTTTTCTTTAGTAAAGCTATTAATCTTTTTATCATATTTTACAAGTAAATAACATTATTAGAACATTAAATATAATAAATAAAGATATTAAATAATCATAATTCATAGTTTATTAAATTTTAATGTTCTGAGCAGTCCAACATTAAAACAACAAAAAAGGAAATAAAATATTAAGTAATAAAAATAACAAAACAAAGTTAATAGGTAATACTTAAAAAATGTTAAAATAGTAAATTAAAGTCTTTTGAATTACGAATCTACAATCGTGAAACGAACTAAGATATCGTCGCTTAAGAAGTACGTATCTTAAATAGTACCGAATTATAGTGTTTTATGAAGTAATCATATTGTAATAGTTAAACATTTTATAAATCTGAGTAGATTCGGGTCACGAAGTGCACGTCGTGCATCGATACGTTAGGATGGGTGTCCGCGGACGCCAGTGGCGAAGAGCGAACAGTAAGCGAACAGACGATGTCTGCGACCGGCCTACACACCGTCACCGAACGTATACGTGCGGCGGCGGGCGGGCAGAGACAGCGGCGCCATCGGAATATCGATACGTTTGCCCCGCGTGTTGTTACACAAACGCTATTCGACTTTTGCGGATTCGCGGCCGAGCTTGCGCTTTGGCACCCGTAAACGCGCAAACGCTTTCTTTCTCACTCCCTCTCACTCTCTCTCCCTCTCACTCTCTCTCTTTCTCTCACTCTCTCTCCATGTCGCGCACACGCGCCTACACGTATATACTCTCGAACACACTCGCACGAACGTGAGCCGCGCGCGCGCTACACTCTCGAGCGCGTAACAGTGGTGAGCTGTGTGTGTGTACGCACGGCGGCCAGTGTAAACCGTCTACCCTTCTGCCGTGCACGTCCACCGCCACTGGCCCCCGTCAAATCGCATCGGGTCCGTACATTTACTGTCGCGTTGCGATTATCATCGGTGTCACGGCCGCGCGCACGTATTTCGATAATAATTCGTTTTGAGTATCAGCTGGTGCGGGGTTACCTAACTTTTGTTCCACGATCAATTCATCCATCCGTCTCGCCGACCACGATCGTATTTTACGCTCCCGCGTCTCGGTATATTTTTACCGATTCGTCGTCCAGTTATTGTCTTTCACGCACCATCTTGTTCCCCCTCTCCGAGGGTCCGCTTTCCAACTCGATTGTTTCTCCTGCGCCCACCCGCGTTGACGCAACCCACTTGGTGGCCACTGCACGCGCGCATCCCTCTAAGCTCAACGGGTTAGTAACGTTTGCCGCACAGGAGCAGCAGCAGCAGCAGCAGCAATCGACTATACAACTGCACCCGCACCGCGTCATCACGTCGCCGCGATCGCAGACGAATTCGGACGTGGGTCAAAAGGTAAAATTGTAACGACCATCGTTGTAATACGTATGTAAATATTATACCCGTAATGGTTATTACGATAACCGTTGTAGTAATAATGGCAATAATTGCAAAATGAGTACAACAATAAACATTGCTTACATTTTAATCGTTTCGTTGTGTCACTACAGTCCGATTACGCGCGAATCGAATAAAAACATGTCCGCGAGACACACGCCGCATCGGTGCGGACGGCTTTGGTCTCGATAAACGTCATGCGCAGCCCTCGATGACATTTCAGAGTGTAATTGGGTTTTCAGGAAGCGAATTTCGCTGACAGGTGTCCGATCCCATTATTATTGTTATTGGGTGGACGGTGGGTTCAGTGCCTTCTGGGTTTGATGGGGGGAAATAAAAGACAGAGGGAAAGGGGCAGAGTATTACGAAGAGATGTGGCTGCTAAACCTACTTTACCCGTCTCTCGGTACGACGAACGGCGTGCGCACAGCTGCGGTATGGTGGAGTGCACTTGCTGTCTCATTAACAATACAAAAGAGATTACATGGCCGTTTACAATATAATGCTCGTTCGTTTGCCATATTTTTAACACGCATGTGCACATTACCGGGTGTGCGTGTATGTGCATGTCCATTTATTCTTTTTTTCCCTTTTCAATGATTTTTTTTTAATATTTTTGACGAAATCCGATATTCTGTCTCGTCGACTGACAATGGATAAACGTTATTTATAATGACACGACGTCAATTTGAAAAACAATGCGGGGCGTCAAAACAACAAGAAAAAATTTATAATATACGTACTTTCATATAGGGGTAATCGACCGATTTTTAATCATAGAACACGTATGTTGGCTCTAATGATGTGTATTTATTTTTTGTAACTAAACAAACGTATTAAATAATAAATATAACATATAAAATATACAAATGCTAATGTATTATTTATTAAAATGATGTTGCTATGAACTGTACATAGATATGCTGACGGAAAAAATAGCTGACGGATCTATTTGACACCATTAAAGATGAGTAAACAGAGCATATAAAAATTGTATTATTAAATATATCTATATAATATAGTTTTCGACTGCAAATATGAGTGGAGCGACAGTAGAGTAGAAACAGTTGAAATCGATAATAAGTTTTGGGGGCGTACTGTACGTATAAGAACTCTTTAAAAAGGCTGATTTAAAAAATTCATCTTTTTAAATATTTTAATAATATACATATATTTTAAAAAACTTTATCTGGTAATTTAATTAACGAAACAAAAAAAAATTGAAAGTCACAAAAAAAAATTTTGATTACTCGTCAACCTTTCGTTAATAAAAATTGACAAATTATGAGTACATAATTAAAATACTATTTTTTTAGTATTGAAAATTATTTCAATTATTATTAACTGTAAAAATCCTATTGAAAAATATGTATTTTAACTACATAAATGTTGCATTATGTCATGCAATCAAAATTATGACTACAAATTAATAATTATGCTTCTATTTAGACTTATTTTTGCTAAATAAATTATGCTGGTATTTTATATTCATATACCTACTTATGTCAATAAAATGTTGGTGTATATAAAATACCAACAGGATTATTTTCCCTCCTTCAGTCATATTTTCTTTTATGTCTTATCAGAAAACTGACATTCTTTGTGTTTGTAAAATGCCGAACATGCCATTGACTGCATTGTTCTGCTAACCCACCCTAAAGAATGTCAAATTATAGCTTATATGTATAAGAAACATTTGAAATCACAATATTTTAAGGATTTTAAAAATAATCTAATTTTTTCTTCCTAACATTTAAAATAGGTTACATAAAAATAAATTTACTAGAATATGCTAAATATCTATTTGTTTATAATTTGTTTAAAAATGAAAAATAATAGATTATAAAATGAATCAATAAAATAAACTAGAATTAATACTATAGTTCTCTAGTTTCTATAAGATAATCAAATAAACATAAAACAAGGCGAGATCTTAGATCGAGTGACACTCCACGGTCTGGAGAGTATATGATATTGCTGTATTGATCTTTAAAACTTGAAACCAATGGCTCTCAAAAAAAAAAAAAAATTGGGTGGGTCAGTTTTAATTTTGAAAATAGTTAACTAAGTAGGAGAACCAAATTTCTTAAAAAAAGGGATTTAAAGTTTTAATGTTCTAACTTTTATAAAAATTAAAGATATTTACAATTTGGAAAATTCGGAATTTTTAAGCGCATGTAAACAACAGTAATTTTATTAAAATAATTTGAAACTATGCAATATCTTTTGTAAAATTATTTATTATTTTATTTATTTAGTATACTAAATAATTGTTAACGTTTAATGGAAGTTTGTTTAAATTTCTGATTTCAATAACATTTTATATTGTAATACTCATAAAAACTTGTGATATTTTGGTAAAAAAATTTTAGGGGGGTATAAAGAAAATGTTGTGAAAAATCTTACGCCCAATTTTCAAGCCATTAGTATGAAAATTGAAAATGTTATGAAATTTTGAATATAAAAAAATATTATGAAAATTATTTTTATCTTTTTGTCAAGATTTAATATTTAAACACTTGTATTTTTTTTTTTATATTAAGCTCAATTTTCTTGCATTAATTAATCATTGATATCTATAAGGAACTTTATATTAGATTTTCAAGACATTTTATCTTATCAAAATTATTTTATCAATATTGTCGAAAAAATTGAAGAAACATGAAAATTTCAATCTCTATATATATATATATATAAAAATCTCGTATCACAGTGTTTGTGACCATACTCTCCCAAAACGGCTTAACCGATTTTAATGAAATTTTGTATATATATTTGGTAGGTTTGCGAATAGGTTTTTATCGGTTTTTTATACTCCTAAGTGCTACTGTTTAATAAATCGTAGTTTAATTTAATAATTTTTGACCCTGTCGATAATTGCGCAATTGAAAATGAATTACTAAATGATACTATAAGAAACTATTAAAAAACTATTTAAAAGCTATTAATTTTATTTTTGGTATTAAATTAGGAGTATTGCATAAATATTAAAGAACAAGATCCCGCAACAGGTGCCAAAACAAACAAGAATGTTAATTCGAAGGATTATTATGCATATCGGTTAGTGATTAGGTGCGATCAGGGCAGCGTTATTCTACGATGTTGTGAGCTTTGTCAACAATTTATGGTCGACATGTATGTAAAGATAAAGAGCGAACGATTACGATACTTGCGATTCAATCAAAAAAAGCTGCGTGCGGAAGATTCTCAAAGCAGTTGTTAGATATTGGTGATGGGAAAGTTACTATAGATGAAACGGAATGCACACAATTACCGACCGAATTCTGCACAATCATTGATTCGCTAAATGCTCTCATTGATCAAAAATTTCCCAATGTACATAAACAATACACAAATCATGAGTGGCTGGCAGAAAGAGCAATTTTAGCAGCAAAATATGTGGACGTCAACGAATTGAATCTCAAGATACATTTGTTACCAGGAGATTTGGTGTCATAAAAATCTATTGATACAGCTTGCGATACTGCTGAAGCTGTAAATTATCCAACAGAGTTTTTAAACTCATTGGATTTACCAGGCATGCCACCGCATAATTTACAACTGAAGGTTGGATCTCCGGTTATTTTTCTTCGTAATTTGAGTCCACCACGGTTGTGCAACGGCACGCGATTAGCCATTAAAAAATTAATGAAAAATGTTATCGAAGCCATCATTTTAAATGGCAAATTTCGAGGTGAAAATATATTATTACCGCGAATCCCTATTATATCCACAGATGTACCAATACGATTTAAACGCCTTCAATTTTCAATTAGATTGGCATTTGCAATAACTATCAATAAGTCTCAAGGTTAAACGATGTCTGTCTGTGGCTTAGATTTGAGCACATCATGTTTTTCACACGAACAATTATACGTGGCGTGCTCTCGAATAAACCAGTTTATTTGTGCTGGCGAAATATGGGACAACAAAAAATATTGTACACTCTGTTGCATAGAGTGATTGATATTGTTTTTTTTACTAATATTGTCATAATCATCAATATGTATAATTTTAAAGTATCAATTTTGATAAATTATTAAAAAAAATAAATGATTGATGTTTTTTCATTTTTATATTTCGTCATCGTTCACAGCGCTCCATAACTCTTCCACTTATACATCATGTCCTTACACACCTATAGTAAATTAGTTATTTTTTTCTAACAAAATATTCTCTAGAAATAATTTATATGACAAAACAACGTTTGTTGGGTCAGATAGTTTTTAATAAATAGATTAAAATATCTTTTTAAAATTATACTTATACCACCTATATAAAATGGTAACATAAGCATTCAGTGAAAATTTCATGTCTCTATGATTATTATTGTTAGAGTTCCGTAAAGAACGAAAATTAAATTTTTTTGAAAACCGGCATGCTTTAAGTGTTGTCGTATTCGTACATCTTTTAGTCAGTTTTTTGCAATTTTTAAGAAAAATAATAGGAAACTCGTCGATTAAGTCCTTTCAAAGCATCAAATTTATAACATTTTATTTAATAAATATCTTTTAATTTTGATAATCGGTGTAAAATTTTTGGCTAAAATCATGTAAGCAAACACGAATATAATAAAACATTTCTCGTTTCATTAATTTACTAAATTATAAATCAGAGCTTGAAATCGAAATAAAAAAAATGTCGATTTTAATTTCAATTTTGATTTGTTGGGAACAGATTGGGCTGCTAAAATAAAGCCTTTGCGCGTCCTCACAGACCGACGAGTGCATGCCCGTTAATGCAATAGTGATTCTGTCGAGACAGCGCGCCGCTCCGTCGCCAACCGATTTTTCACGGGAAATGATCGACGACTACCAGCGTTATCACCTGTCTTCGATTGCAGTGCATTTTCTGATGGCTATCGCACCGTTTTTGCAGGCGTCCGTCGCGACACACACATAGCTCAGATATACTTCGACCGGCATTTTTTTGCGTCTGTCGACGGCACTCTGTACTACTCGCGTGTGAGTCCTCGTGTTTTTTTTGTCTCGCTAAGCGTGAATGTGAACCAGGCTTTTGCGCCTCCGTCACGCCAATCAGTATCAGCGTGTTTTTTCCACCACTTGATTTCCGGGTTCATACGCGCAAGGGCGTCGACCACGTGTTCGCCTGTCTCTTCCGAATATCACCGTCCGGTGTATATTTTTATTTTGATTGCGTTTCGGCCACGGTTGTTCTGTCGCCACCACCATACTGTAACTTGCCGTCCGGCCAGTTCCAGACTTCAGCGTTCACCATCAACGGCGTCATCCCATCGGTTCCAGGAGGGTCAGGTCACGTTCGTCTTTTCTTTTTGTTATTATTATATATAGTTGTTTTGATCGGACTAATTATTTGTTATATGTTAATATATGTCAAATAGTATAATTTTTTTTAGTTTATATTGTTAATGGTCACACTAGGTTACGTATATATATATATATATATATATATCTCATCCTCATTCCTTGTACAGTCCACTGTCTTGTTATGTTTCGTACATTTTTTCCAGCTAAAATCAACAGTAATACGACTGGCGAAATACGTCTGATAAAATTCTTTTTATGGTTCTAGTCAACAATTGTATTAGTTTTTTTTAATTTCGATTTTGGTTTCAAATATTGTGATATTTATTTTTTGTAATTTCGTTTTTGATTTCGAATATCGATGTTCATTTTTTTCAATATCGGTTTCAGAAATTGGTATTTATTTTTTTTCGATTTCGAGTTCACAACAGAATGTAATCCATGACTTATAATAATTTCTCAAATTGTTGTACATCATTAGCATAATAGTGTTGTAGGATGTAGCGACAAGCTACTGATGTAGATAGTATATATTTAAATCCATTTTTTTATTACCTATGTTATAAAACATTTAATACAAATTAAAATTATTATTAAAGTGTCTTAAAAATGATAAAACATAATATGAAAGTGAAGCTAAAATTAAGTAAACTATATAGGGATACATTTATGTGAAATGATTAAAATGTAAAATAAAGTTTTTTACTCATAGACTCGGACACAATTTAACTAAATATGAGAACAATGTTTTAAATTATAAGTGGGACAAATATGATGACACCTAGCAAAACTGCACAAATACAATATAAAACTATTTTAGGTTATTTGATTGTATATTATTGGTTAAAAGTATAACTCACGGGTAACAGCCAATGGAATATTATAAATTAATATGTTATATCCATAATAATACACTACAAAATGTCTATATATAGTATATTATATGGAATAAAACGTGTGAATAAAAACAACAATCGCTCATCGAACGCCGATTCCTTACCGTAAATATTCTAAGAAAACAAAATAGGTACTAGTTATTTATTATTATGTATAATCAATGTTATTACCAAATATAGCAATGTCTACGAATTGACAATATAAATAGACCTGTGGCTGTTGAATTTTAAATTAATTTGATTTAAAATCGTTTAAATTATTAAAATGATTTTGATTTTAATATAAAATATAGATTTTAACTTCTTTCAATTTCAATATAAATTTTGAAAATCATTATCAACCATTAACGATTTTGATATTGATTTTGATTTTCTAAAAGATTTTTAACGTTTTTTATCGATATTTGAAATCGATTTCAAGCCCTGCTATAAATTATATTCATTATATTTTAAATTATATAAGCTATATATATTTTCTGTTTTTTAATAAAAATTCATATTTTATGATAATAATTGCAATTTTTCGATCGATAAACATTTACAAATATAATTTAATAGTTAAGAACTAGTATTTACTTCTAAACCTGTACAATATAATGTTTTTATTTTGTTCTAGAACGTTTTGCGTGTTCGTCATATGGTTGGACAGAGGAGGCCAAGTAGATCATGTTCGATATTGATATGGGGTGGATTTTTATTACTTTACGCCGCTCTGACTGCAATCATAGATTGTACCCAGAACAATTTGTCGACTCCGATAGTCCCATTGATGTCCACAAACAAGCCACTTCCAACCGAAAATCCAGTAAATACAGAAGATAGTTTTGGGTCTGGTGACGGATCAACAATTTTTCCGACTCCTTTAATTTTACAAAATGAAAACAAAACTACAGAGAACTCTTCGGTAAGTATTTTGATTTATTTTGAATTAAATCTAATATTTTTTACATAATTAATATATTGTTATTACTTCAAATTTTCAAAACTGATTAAAAAAAAACCAATTATCATTTGATAATAAATAAATATGCAAAACATGAATTATTTTTAAAATTGTTCAAATATTTCTTCTTTAGGTCTTTTAGTCTTTAGAGTGGTATTATCTTGCTACAAACTCTCTTACATTCCTCTCAATCTTCTATTTTACTTTTAATATATATGTTACCGGAAATATGGATAATCTGGTATTTTACAAAATGCCAAAAATCATTCGGCAATAAATATAATACGAGCTTTCTCTAGGTTTTATGTATAATGATAAACGTGGGGTACACAATATGATAAAAATAAACAAAATTGGGCATTGCCTATTACCAACGACTTTACAGTTTTTCATAAATGTGGGTGCATGATTTAACGCAATAAAGATTAAGATTCTTCTACTACTATAATAATAAATTTGAGGTACATTATTGAACGTTCTAATAATTTCATTACAATATCGTCATTTTTCTTGTCATTTTCGTGTCTCGTTATGGTATTGCTATGGATACGATTTATATGAAGTCAATTTTTAAAACAAACTACAAAATTTTTTTAAAAATTTGGCCACTACTACTAGTTTTTTATCTGATGAACAGGATAATGAGTTTATAAAAATTCAATCCACAAGAATTGGCCAAGAATTTTTAAAATCTGTTTGTTAGTCCAAGTATCAATAGAAAAAGTGTATATGCCTTAAAAATAAAATTTTGTGTACTTCAAAATGTCACTTTTCTACAAGATGTTATAATAAGTAAATAATAGTTTAAGTAAAATATTTATATAAAAGTAATAATATAATAATAGATAAAAATTAAATTTTGTCTGTAATATGAGTAATGTATAGTAATTATAAGAATCTTAATGAAATATAATATGTAATAAAATATTTTATACTTAAAAAAAATTGGTATTTTGCATAACGTCTAGATATTTATTAAAATACCTAGGTTTTATATAAAATAATATTGAAAATCATATGTTTTATTTATATTGCCTAAAATAGGTCGGCAATTTGTATAATGCTTAGGCATTTTGCAAAATACCTGAATTATCCATATTGCCGGTAACATATACATATTTTAAACTTAGTTCTGTGGTATAACATTTATTTTAGGTCTTTCTCTTCCTTTTTTTTCTGTTATAATTCCTTCTAGAACTACTTGAATAAAACTATAATGTCTTAAAGTTTGTCCATATCATTGTAATATTTTCGTTTTTATGGTAGGTATCATTGTTCTTTGTTCATTTACTTGCTGTAGTACTTAATTATTTGTTACTCTACCTAGTTAACTTTTGCATACATCGATAGCACGATATCTCAAATGCTTTTAACGATTCTTTTTCATTTTTTTTGTTAGTCCATGTCTTCGCTGAGTATAATTTTATACGTCATATAAGTATTCAGTATTTTATTTCTGAGTGTAATATTTATCTTCTTTGATGATTGGATCTATTAATTTTTTTTTTGTAAAATGCAATCGTCATAATTTAAATTCTTTTCCTAAATTTAATTTTACATCTAGCATCATATGTAATTGGCTTAAGAAGTAGATATAGTTCATCTGTTTTATTTAATAACCATATATTGAAATTTCTACTGCTGTCTTCGTTTTTGGAATCACCATCGTTTTTGTTTTGCTGACGTTTATTTTCATATTATATTTTTTTTACTGTACAATTTATTTTACTTATCACTTTACAAAGTACTTTTACTGATCCAGTAACTATAGCTTGATCATCTGCAAATTTAATTGTTTTAATTTTAGATCCACCTATGTTACCCCATTTCTATCGTCTCTAACAGTTTCATCCATCATATTTTCAGAATATACATTACACATACTAAGTGAGTGAACTCAACCTTGCCGAGCTCACTATTCAGTTACCATAAAAACCAATAAAATAACGTATTTTAATCATTAAATTATATTTTATAATTATTTATATACTTTAACAAATAAACAACTTTACAAATGAATAACAATTATAACAAATTAATAAATGTTATTGCCACAATCACGATACTGATTATTAAAACTTAATACTTCTGTTTACACGTTTTATTTTTAGTAAAATTGTGTTAATTTGTTAACTAAAATGCATAATATTCTATCAAATGGATGAAGTACATTAAATATAATGTAGTATTCAAAAACCAAAATTAATTAGAAAATAAACTTTATTGTATTGATTTTATATATTTAACAAATATTATAATATTTACTAGTATACCCATTGCAAAAATTTGCAATGGATCAATACATAAACACATTTTAATAAATTAATAAATGAGTATTATATCAAAATGACAGAGAGTGTTTATTAAAATATATTTTCCGCAGAATTAGGATAGACTATGTATGAGAGAGTGTAGTTATTACATAAAATTATTTTACAGTGCTTCCTTCCAGATAATATTAGCTAATATAAGTAATAATATTAGTATTGTTGGTGATTTGTTTGTTGTTTTATCACTGGGTAAGAGCCAATGAGAATGCAGTTTTTTGTAAAAATTGAAAGTAAAATTGATTGTGCACACATAACTTTCCTCAAGCTCAACGAATTTAAGTAGTAAATATCTCAAAAGAAAGAGTTTGATCCACTGAGTGTTCTGAGAGTGAAATGATCAAGATCCATTCATCAGAAGAAGAGCTATGAAAATTCGAATTTCTTGAGTGAATGTGTCCCATAAGAAGTGTATAGGGAAGAATCGCGTTGATAGGAGTTGAGTAAATTTCAATGATTGATGACATATATGTGTCTAAACACCTTTCATTTAAATGAAAATGAAGGAAATCGGCTAGAAAAAACGGCCAAACTGACTTTAGTTTTCATACATTTTTTTAATATATAAGATTATATAACTGATATAAGAAAAACATTCACACATATAATATTATTTTGTATAGATTATTATAACATTTCTTTAAGAAGACGTGATACTCAAAAGTGTACCTCCGCCGGATGTAACGCCAGTGCTGGATTTAGTAGGAGCGCAGGGGTGCAATGCACCGGGGCTTTAAACCTTTTTCTGAGAGACATTTCAAACCAAAATCTAAAATTAAAATTGTCTTTTTCTTTTTTCGTGCTCTTTAATTTTATATTTATTAAATTGTGTTTCATTTAAAAACTTTTAATAGTAAATTTATAAATTGAAATGTCTAAATGTATACTTGAAAATGTATGCATAAAAACGAAAAAATAAGTTACTTTAACAAAAAAAAAAAAATTCAAGGGGCCTCTAATTAGTATTTGCACCTCAGCCTTCTAAGACTTGGATCCGGTCCTTTACACCTCCATCGATGACGGTATGAGCTGCAATATAGGAGCATACATGCTAATGCATGACGCGTGATGTGGTCATGATCGTGTCCGCAAATTTACAAAAAAAATATTAATTTATTTATGATTTAGATTGAAAAAACTTTATTGTATGGAACAAAATCATTTAGTGTACCTTAATTTCTTTTATTTTAGTTTTATAGAAGAAAACATTATCTATGATGTAACGATTTTATATTTTCGATAACTTATCTTTGTAATTAGATAAAAATTTAATATTTTACAAATATTAATATATAAATACCTTTTTATCCATTTATGTCAATGAAAAAATAAAAAAAGGTTCATGACAGATAATGTTCTTCTCTTAAAAAAATAAAAAATAAATAAATATTTGAGACTCCATTATAAATATACATTTAATGAATTTTTTTCCGCGTAATACATATTTTTACACTTAAATTGTACATGTATCAAGAAGTCCTCTTATGAATTTTGTTGATATTTTCTTTAAAAATCCATAACACTTAAATACCATAACTGATATTATAACATTGTATACTAATATAATATCCAACTAAACATTAATATATTTTATTGTTAACAAGTCAAATTGGTTTTTTTATATTTTTTATAATAGCTTTCATTGTGATAGTCAAACGTATTATTTAAACATTCAAGTGGGTTATTCCATTATAAATATTATAATATATGTAAATAAGAGCTCTCCGTGACAATATCATCATAATAAAGAATAAGCCTTAAGAAATCTAATATTGATTAGTAATGAATATTAGATGTATATTATTTTTATTTTTCATTTGTCATCAAGGTACCTAAATTATAAATCATTTTATATAACATATATTTTATTTTATGCAATTTTAGCGTTATATTTTGATACTTAAGACTTTAGACTGGACTGTTTATTAATACATTTTTTTTTTTTTTTTTTATTAAAATATAAAATAAAATAACATTTACAATCTGTATAAAAAAAAAAAAATACAATTAGCAAATATGATAGCAAAATGTGACGGCGAGCAGGGAAGCTATCCAGTGATAGGACCCATAGACGTGAATGCTAAACTAGCACATTTTCAGTTTAAAAGATCTCGGCACCAACATCGTTTAAGACGACCAGGAGGGGGGAGAGAGTTGTCCGGGATTGAGACCTAGTGTTGATTTGCGATAAGTGGGTTGGGATGGAGAAGTAATTTTGAGTGGAACTTTTTATAGTAAATTTTAACTAAATTATCAACTGCTTCTATGTTTAAGTCTTTGTGGAGGGTGTGATTGGAAATATACCAAGGAGCGGACGTGATTGTACGAAAAGAGATCGATTGGAAAGCTTCAATAGTTTTTAATTACAATAGTTTGGCACAATCCCATATTTGGGCTCCATATGACCAGATTGGTCTTAGCATTGCTTTATATAAAATTAATTTATTATGAAGTGGAAGTTTAGATTTTAGTACGGGACGTAATAGGTGTAATCTAGAATTTAGTGACTTTCTTTTGTTTTTTAGGTGAGGACCCCAGGTTAATATTTTATCTAAAATAATACCAAGGTATTTTATTTGAGATGAGGAGGGAATAGGTATTTCATGGAGGGTAGGAATAGGTAGATTTTTTTTATTTAGAGTGAAAGGAACATGAACAGATTTGTCGGCATTAATTTTAATTTTCCAATTAGAGGACCATTTATTTATAAGATCAAGGTGATTTTGAAGAGCGTTGAATGCTACGGTTGGGTTCCTGTTAGATGATAGGATTGCTGTGTCGTCGGCGTAGGTAGCTATATGATGGTGTCATTGGTTTGGGAGATGTCAGAAGAGAAAATATTGTAGAAGTTAGGAGAGAGATCGCTTCCTTGGGGAACACCTGCTAGGATTGGAAAGATTAGGAAAAGTTTTGCTATCATTAATGTTAGGAGGAGGGGAATGGGTCATTACACTGAATAGCGTTTCCTGCCTATTTACAATAGTGTTGTTATTTACATGATTTTTTAAAGTTGAGTTTGATTTGAAATTTGAACACTGTAAGCTTTTATGGAATGAACACCCTCGGTAGTTTGCGATATGGTTATCGATATGTGACTTTTCTACCTTTATTTTGGTATGAAGCAGTGAGGTAAATTTGAAAATCTCATTGTTGATTTGAGCGGGTTCAAGGTCAACAAAAAATATTGGGAGGGGGCATTTTGTAGATTTGTGGATAACATTAGAATCTTGGCGGACAGAATATCCGATATCTTCAATGGCAGCACCTACTTCGGAAATTGAAGAAGACGGATGTAAGTTACGGATGACAATACGAAAAGCTTTATTTTCACGGGCTTAATAGGTATGATATTCGGCATTACCTATTTTCAGGTGTTTTATGACTTCTCTATACGAGTCAGAGTTGGTAGTGTTAATTTTTAGGTTATTGGCTGATGACTTAAAGCTGAAGGTTTGAGGATCAATCAGCTTTATTAATTGATTTCTTAATTCAATAAAATCAGAAACGTTTCGTACAAATATTGGTGGAGGTAACGGAATGTGGTTTGGTTGGATGTAATTTCCATAGTGTTTTCATTATCATTAGCATTATCCGGTACTTGGAGAGGGTTAAATTTATTTGAACTGACAAAGACGGGTTTTGTTTTCTTTTTGTTGAATGTACCGGTTGAGCTGGTAGAAGAAAGATTACATTTTGATTTATTTGTGACTAATTTAAAATCTGGGTCATAGAATCATCGTCCGTAAAGACATCATTTGAAGTATTTGATAAAGTTGAAACCTGTGTACGATTCGAATTATTATTAGACAAATTTGGTTTTATTGTGTTCGTATGATTATTGGTAGTGTGAGAACTGCTCGATGACGGTCTATTATTGGTGCGGGTCATTATTATTTAAGATAAGGTTAGAACGACCGCCGGCTGGGCCGGGGAGTTTGAAAATAAGTATTATCTGCTAATTAGAGACCGGTGCGATAGATGATTAATTAATTAAAATTACCAAATTTTCATCGCTGATGGGTAGAAAACACTCTATGACTTCCGAAGAACAGCAGAATTGGCATCAGCGTGACACAAAGGAACGATTGGTATTAATTCCAAGATTAACGGACACTTTTCAGATGACAGAAAAGAAAAAAACACTGTGGAACGAGAGTGAACGCACATAACGCCACGGTGTACGACGAGCGAGTGTAATAAAAAATTAATTTATAAATCCTTATTTTCAGGTGTTAAATCCATCGAATACGACAATTATAAATAGTGACGAATCTGAAAAATGCACACCACCAGCGATAAAACAGTTTCCCAGACCCTTTATGAGACCTTCAATAAGACGTCGAGGAGGAGTATTAATCCACATAATTTTATGCATTTATAGCTTCTTAGGATTAGCAATCGTTTGTGATCATTATTTTGTGAAGTCACTGGATAGAATTTGCGAAGGTAAATTATATAATATGGAATTAAATAAAAGGTAAAAATATCTTAAATTTAAATGATGTGGGATTAAAGTAATTGATTAATAATTCAAATAAAATAATTTGTAATTAATTCACACAAATCTTTTCTTTTTTTTTGTTCGATAATTTCGATAAATTATGGTGGTTTTCAAATAGTTAATTTATTTGTCTAAATTAGTATTTAATTAATTAACAATGTAATTAAATAATTATTGAATTAAACAATAGGTACTTAAATATATTTATAGTTACACGTGAACACATAAGTTTTATTTTAGTTTTTATTTAATTTATAAGAATAATTATTTTTATTCAACTTTTTTTGTTAATGTTTGTAATTTTTCAAAATTAATTAAAAAGTATAAATATAAACCATCACATTCTTTTAAATTCTAGTTTATATAACATTTATAAGTAAGTAAATTATTTTGAAAATTGAAATGTTTTATTTTCTATTAAATTTGAACTATTATTTTTAAAAAGAAAAAAAATATAATAATATAGTTTTAAATACAAAAGATTTTTATTGCTTTCCAATCAATCAAAATTTCCATGTAATATAAATATAAATCAATAATAATTTTCATAATTTTAAAATTAATTTTTTTAGAACTTAAAGTTAGTCCTGATGTCGCGGGTGCCACTTTTATGGCAGCTGGCAGCTCTGCTCCTGAATTGGCTACAGTTGTTATTGGAGTTTTCTTAGCCAAAGACGATATAGGAGTGAGTGGCGTCATCGGGTCTGCAGTTTTCAATATTATGTTCGTCATAGCTGTTTGTGGTTTAGCGTCTACGACTGTCACTTATCTCAACTGGTGGCCCCTTTGCAGGGACTCGTTTTTCTACACCATTAGCATACTTATTATGCTGTTAGCCATTTACAATGAGACTATTTCATGGTACATATTTAAAAGTCTACGTAAATTTGATTTTCAAAAAAAATATTCAGATTAGTAAAACTCGTATTTATATAATGCAAGGATCGAAAGTTCTATGCTGCTTCTGGCGTACGTCATTTATTGTGTAGCGCTGTATTACAATTTGTACTTGGAAGCATGGGCAAATACTTGGAACTTACCTTTTCCTCCAAGAAACCATGGACAAGTCAGTCAATACTTTATTTTCACCGGATTCTGAAAAACATTAGTACCTATACTAATACTTTGCGTTATAGATTAATGAATTATTCGCGGATCAATCTATGTCAGATGCCAAGGAGGGCCAAGAACAAATTCAATTGACTGGTACTAAAAGTCCATCAGGATATGATACAACTGGATCAACAGGAATAGACCATCAAGAACATAACCAACAATCAAAAACTCAACAAAATCCCGACTACTACATACCTAAAGTATATCATGAAGCTGATGAGGTATGTGTCTCATTACTTGTACTTATATATATTATATTTATAAAAATATATTTTAAAACATCATTAAATATTATTAATGAAAAATAAATGAATTAATAAAATAGCTCATTTTAAATACAATTTAAACTAATTAAACACATAATACAAAATGTTTAGTATACCTATTTTATAATTTAGGTCAATCCTCTCCTAAAACCTGAAAACGGAAACATTTTCCAAGTAACTCAATGGTTCTTGATGTATCCAATTTATTTTACATGTTACTATACAATGCCAGATTGCCGAAAGGAAATATTCAAAAACTGGTATGGATTAACTTTCGTGATATCTATGCTATGGATTTCTGTGTACTCTTATATTATGGTTTGGATGATCACAGTTATAGGTAAGCTAAATTAATACTAAAAACATTGTTAATATAATTTAAATAACCAATAATTATCAATATAAATAATTATATATATAAATAAATTATATAATTATAAATTATGAAGTTATGAGCACTTCACTTAAAAATCGCACAACAATGTTTTTTTAGATATGCATGAAAAATATATTAAAAAATAAATCACAAAAATTTTAATTGAACAGGTAATACGCTTGGAATACCAGATACAGTTATGGGCCTAACCTTTGTTGCAGCTGGAGTTAGTGTACCAGATGCTTTATCTAGTCTTGCAGTAGTAAAAGAAGGTAATGTACACAAAAAATGTAAATACAACAAATTGTATTTACATTTTTAATAGTTGTTACATTTTTGAATTGTAATTGTATCTATTAATAGAAAGTTTTAAAAATTATAAAAAGATATCACAATATATTACCTTCAAGCATAAAGTAATTGTTACATATATTAAAAAAAAAATAATAACTATAATAGGCAAGAAATATTCTTACATTAATATTTGCATTTTTAAAAGTAACGATTCATATTCTCAGTCATAGTTTTAATATTATAATCAAATCAAAAATGTAAAGATAAATAGTATTAGGTTATAGCTCTATAGTTAAATTATTTTATCTAATTTTAGGCTACGGTGACATGGCTGTATCTAATGCAATTGGAAGCAACGTGTTTGATATATTAGTATGTTTAGGACTGCCTTGGTTTTTGCAAACGGCCGTGTTTAATCCAGGAAGTACTGTAAAAGTGTATAGTAAAGGTTAGTTGAATTTCATTAAAATTAAAATTTGAATACCTAAGTAAAAATTTACTTGTAATTTATAATGCATGTTTTTATAGCAAGAACAATTTAAGTACATTTTAAGTTAAATGGTAATTTTGGATATGTTGGATCCAAAATTAATACTATGTATTTAGAGTAAAAATATTAGCATAGTTATTTTGAAAATTGTCTAGGAAATATTAAAAATAAATTACAATGTATGTTTCTGTGAAGGTTTGAAGTGCAAAAATCAAAGTAGGAGGTTCAAGCACTTATAGACTATCTTTATGCAGTTTTCTAACAATTTCTTTACAAAACAAAAAAAAATATTAAGGCTTTAGTTTTAAGACCTATATAAAACTCATTGAGATAAAAAAAATTAAGTCGTTCTTTAAAAATATTTTATACATATCTAATACTTTTTATCATTGTTTTTAGGCTTAACTTATTGCACCTTAACACTACTATCGACTGTAGTGTTTTTGTTAGTGGCAACGCACATGAACGGATGGAAGTTGGATAGAAAGTTTGGAGCTGTCCTTATGTTATGGTATTTGATTTTTATAGCAATAGCTAGTCTATATGAAATGAACGGTACAATGAATCCACCAAGCTGTTTAACCGACTATTAATGTAACTATAATGTTATAAAAATTATTTAAACAATAGGTTATATACAATTTGTTTTGATTTCAAATATGTTTGTTTTGTATTTTATTTTCAAACTAACGTTATTCTCCTGTCATGTCTGACAGTTCAGCAACCTGTGATTTTTTTGTATAAGTAATATTATAAAAATATAATATTATAATACATATAGCTAATATACTCGAATAACGTAAGCCTACACGTTTTTCTGAGGTTAAAGCTGATAACTGGAATAATTATTTTTAATTGTAAGTTTTTGAAAACTTTGTCATAAAGTTATTTTACATTATTTAAACAAAAATAAAACTATGCCATTTGTAAATTAAAATATTATTTATCGCACAATCTAGATTATAATCTGTTGTTTTATTATACTGGATGTGAACGGAACACTTGGCTCTTCATCTCAGAAACAATTTTTCAAATATTTCTTTGGAAATGTAATACACTGAGAATATAGTATAATTAAAATTATTTTTCATGTTTCATTTGAAAATATTATTAACCGTGTATACATATTATTGAATTTCTCATTATAAATGGTAGAAAATATATTACAAAAAACCATTAAAATAATTATAATTTTGTTATTTAGTGAAGTATAATTACGTTATTTGTGTGTATAAAATTCATTATTAATTTTCTTATTAGTTATTTCCCACCGAAATAATGTTTCACCATAATATCACCACTTATACCGTTTTAACCATAATTTGTTATTAATAATATATTTAGCAAATAATAAAAGTACCATACATTTAAGCGATTGTTGTTGCAGTATTATTGTACTTCGTTAATACCAATAAATACCTCTATTGTAAAATTATTTATTTAATATTATAATAATAAAGACAATAATTAGTTCTATAAGTTTAAAGTAATTCAACTTATAAAAATAGATAGTTTTAAGTCGATTACGATAAAATTATTAAATTATTAGATTTTTAACAATATTATTGTATAAATGAATATGTTGAGTGTATCATATATTATCATGTTGAAAATAAAATAATTAAGACCCATAATTGTTAAGGTTTGCTTACCAATCACATAAACACATAATTATTTTTGTGTGTGGAGTGAAAACGTCAGAAAAAAAATTTAAAAATACATAATTTAACGTGTTAAAGTTACTATATATATATATATATATATAAACTACTTAGTTTATAACTTTACACTATTATAGACTATATCAGCCTCAAAAAGTCTTCAAAGTATACTTTTTATACTGTTGCACCATTTTAAGAACAATATTATGAAATACTATTTCGCTGTATTCATTAGATTCTATTATATTGCCTTCATAATAGGTTTAACAAATATATATCCACGATTTAATTCCAGAATTTTCACTGAATGAACATTGTATTCATAATCTTATATATTGTTATTTATTTTTATTTAATAACATAATAGTGTATTAGTTGTATTATATTGTATGAACTTATAATAACTGAAGTTAGTCACATATATAACCTATTATTTATTTAACGTTACTAGCACATAAGTACGAAAAATTTATGATTTCTTTTGTATATCAAACATGAACAATTAATTAATCACGATTTTAAATTATAATATATAGTTTATTCAAGTTATATTTAGTAGGTTAACATTTTATGGCAAATAAATCTGTGTAATAGTCATTTTGTTTCAAATATGTTTATAATATAATATCCTACAAATATTAATCTTTTAACTACTTTTATTCATATATCTATCAACTTATCTTAATTATTTGTTATTAAAGAAATTTGAAGCATTCATTTATTACCTCTATACATTACTATATAATATAGCAAAAATGGATGTATTATATTTCCAACATACCAATCAATTTGTTCATGCAATGAAAGATGAATAAATAAATTTTAACTAATTGTTATGTCTATTCAACATTGACTTTGTTTTTTTAATTTTTTTTTCCTACTAAAGATTTATAAACATTAAAAAAAGTGAAATTTAAATAAAACATTTCTTTTATTAATTTTTTTTATTGAAAGAATAATATAAAAAATTAAGTTAAATTAAATTCTAATCATATCAATTGATCGATCAATGTATTAGAAATAACGGTCTGTTTTTGCTATGTTGCGCATGTGATAGATTTAAATCTACTGCTTCTCATCCTTTTAATGTATTATATTTTAAAATTAACTGCTATTAAAATTATATATATAAATATATATATATATATATATTCAGTGTATTTATATTCAGTTAGTAATGTATTATTGTTACACAGTTAAATACATTTATTTATTTCGAAAAAATATTTTAGTAAAAACGTGTACCTTTGTTGTTTTTATTTTTAGTTCCTTATTACAGCATCTTAAATTTGACTTCAATAAATATTTAGTAAGCAAGCAGGTAGGTTGGTAATTTAAAATATTTGTAAAAAATACATCTTACCTTCTGATTTAAAATATATTTTTATTTTATTATCTCAATTAAAAAATACCCATAAATCAATAAATAAAGAAATTTAAAAAAACAAATTGCATTTTTGGAGGGAAGTAAAATTGTCCATCCTTAAAAAGTGTATTGAAGAACAGAAGAAATATTTTACTCGTTTATCCTTATTACACTCATGATATGTAACACTATAATATGAATTATTATCCGTTAAATAAAGCTTGGTGGATATGAATAGAATGATGTAGCTTACAGGATAAAAATACAATAATAATATATATTTTTTAAAAACGTTTATTTTGCATCATCGTATTTTGCATTTTCCTTTTACGAACATTTTTGTGGCACTGACAAATATGTCATCTTATTAGATTTGAAGTTTAAGCCTTAAAAGTAAACACATTTAATTTTTAACAATTTGAACTTTAAACACATATTACGAATTTCCAACTATTATTTTATATAGGCACGCAAATGTGTTATAAAACTTGTGTTTTCCAGAATAGTATTAATAATTTCGCGGATATCGAAATATCGATAATCGAAATATAATTAGGTACACCTTTCGAACGACGATTTGTATTATTTTAAATGTACTTATCGGAAATTAATTCACTGATATGTTCGCTAAATTCTTGATATCCTTCAGATACCCCTAAGTCACAGATATATATATCTGTGCCCTGAGTACAAAAATTCCATGGACTGACTTCATCCTTAATCTCAGGATTCATGAGATTTATTCAACTCAACCTATGGCTTAGACATTTAAATTCATTGTTATTTCATTATAATTCATTAAAATTGTAAACACAGCTGCTACATCGGTGTTCAGTACAATATTGTATAAAACCGCTCTCATATATATATATATATATATATAGGTAAGTTCTATTGAACCTGGCGACCTTAAGTGTTTTTATCGTTACGACGAAAACACATTGTGTGACCTCGAAAACTCTTTATTTGTATTTAGTGTTTAAAAAATGTTTGTTCCAAACAATTATAAGTTATTTTATAAATAAGTAAATTAATTCAACTCTCTCACTCTTATTAAATATGCAGGCCCACTCTGACCTATTTGACTGCCTATGTTATACAAACAAATTTGCCCTCAAATTTCATAATTTCAAAAATATTTATAAAATTATTTTTAGTTTATATATAAAACATATTTTATATTATGTTTACAATAAATTATTATGATAATTTTTTCTAAGATATGATTTATTAAGCCACTCTACATTTTCCACTACTTTTGTTTTTTGAACACCTTGCACACCTGCAAGTTAACGCGGCCCTGTAAGTAATCATATAAAATAAATAATAAGCAAAAAATAAATCCTGTGTTAATATTTTTCGCTACTATTATTTCTATTTCAACTTACAATATATCTTTACAATATACAAAGTTAGAATATAAACATAACATTAAAACGATTTAAAATTTGTTATAAATTATAAATCTTATTGAATTTCACATAACCTTTAAAATCAATACATTATTGTTTTTAATATATTCATAATCCTATTTTTTAAAAGTTAAATAAAAATAATTAAACGTTAAGTGAGTAGTACAAAAAAAATCAACAAATTGTTTAACATAAATTAAAATTTAATTTAACTTTACAATATGTATAAATTTAAGCATTTTATTTTTTCTATAAATATTTAGAACATCTTCAAAATTAATTACATGTTAACAAAGGCTTTTTCTACCAACTAACTATGTAAACAACCATCAGGAACAAGATGATAAAGGATATCATTATTCAAGAGCTGTTTGTAGGAAATACGTATATTGCACTAATTCACAATTATGTCACCTTAAAGGTTTATTATAAGTCCTTATAAATCATAAATTCAAAGCAATATTTATTAGAGAGGTTAATTGCTTACATTGGTATGGGATATCATAGAATTAATACGATTCGTAGGACAAAACCTATATTATTCTGTGGTACGAAGATTAATTTATTTAAACAAATAATCAAAGTATTTCTGTATTATGTTTATAAGTAAATATAAGTAAAGATAAGTTTATGAAAATCAAAAATGTTTTTATCTACATAAAAATATTTATTCTGATTATATAATATTGTACAAAATAATTAGTAATAGTTTACATTATTCATTTTAAAATAATTTCTCAATTTTTAATAATAATAAGTCATAATAATGAGAACACTATAATAGTTATTACCATAAATTACGTGAATAATAAATTGTAAAAAATATCGAGAAATGTCTAATTAAACTGTATTGCACACTATATTAGCTTTACTGACCCCACTTTGTTGGATTATAATAAGTATATTGGAATCGAGAAAATATTTATTGCTTCACTTAGCTTGAATATTAAATCAATTGTAACTACAACATTATATTATTAAAATTCATAATTTTATTTTTTATTATTTACTAAAATATTAACTTGTAATAAATTATAGTACTGCGTCAATAATAATACTTCTAATAATACATTACTGACTGGGCTTTGAGTAATAAGTAAGGTGCTTAGGAATTTGTTTTTGTTAAACATCGTAGGTACTTAAGTAAAATGTACTTTGATTTTGGTCTTGGGAATATTTAAATTTATTACTATCAAAAAATTTATAATATTTATGGAGAATTTAATTAATCACTTCATAAACTTTTATACCATCAACACGTAAATTTATAATTTTGTCAACATTTAATAATTAAACGCTAAAATATTTTCCCTTCAAAAAACCGAATTTCGTAATTTTATTTACCTACGATATTAATTTTATTTTGAATCTACACAAGATTACTAATATATAGATATCTATCTGAGAAACACGTGTATACACCATAAAATACATTGAGACTGAAAGGATTACATTTTTTTTTCATTAACTACTGATAGATATATACGAGGAACTTTATATTACATTTTCAGGATATTTTGGTGTACAAAATTTATTTTTTCGAAATTTTCGAAAAACAGCTAAGAAACATGAAAAATTTAATTTTCTATAAATATTAAACTTTCTATAAAAAACAGTGATATAAGCATTCAGTGAAATTTCATGTCTTTGCGATTA